ATATATATATATATATATATATAGTTCGTCAATCGTGGTTCGATGATGACCACTTCATGAGAGAGAGAGAAATATAGATATATATATAGTTCGTCCATTGTGGTTCGATGATGACCACTTCACGAGAGAGAGAGAGAAATATATATATATATATATATATATATATATATATATATATATATATATATATATATATATATATATATATATATATATATATATGTAGTTCGTCCATCGTGGTTCGATGATGACCACTTCATGAGAGAGAGAGAAATATATATATATATATAGTTCGTCCATCGTGGTTCGATGATGACCAGTTTGTCATCCAGGGGGCTGAGGGCTTTGCACTGGGGTTTTATGCCTCCTCATGTGGCTGGTGAGACCTATGTGAGGCCGGAATGTTCGGCCACACACTGGGCAGGTTATTCAAACTGGAGCTAGTGTCGATCGCCTTGCTTTTCTTCTCTGGCGTTTTTCTTCTGCCTCAGCAACCTGTGCACCAGTTTTCACTGCGCGACGCCATGATGCTCTGTCATGTGCCCCGGTCTCCCAGAGAGAGAGAAATAACAACTAACTGTAATACACCTCCCTCCTTCAGCCATCGATGGAATGGGTAGTTCCTTTTTGGTGCTAAAAGAATCAGATCTCTGACACATAACCCAGGTCTTACACTGCACAGAAATTAACAAATCGCCGCTTTTTTTTACAAAATTTTTTAACAATATTATTATTTTACTTCATTTATTTTTACAATTTCTTTAAAGTTAATTTTTTAATAAAGCACTTTTTTCTTTTTCTTAGTATTGTATTTTTTACTAATCTGTTAAAGTTATCCTAATTTCCTAATACATAATTGAATGAGTTGAATTCTTGTTATGTTTTTATTAGGTGACATACAAACGAGTTTTCTTTGTGTTATATTACTATCGTACCGTATTATATAGCTATTAAATACACTACTTTCATGCTTAGTTTATTGTTTCGATGTTATAGTTCAGTCTCGTTTATTATTAAATATTAAATGTTGCATACAATTTGCTGTTTGAAGGTACATTAGGGCGTCTATGTGATACGAAGTTCTTCTCACAAGTGCAAGGTGTGTTTTAGTGCCATTGACCGTGTTTAATATTAATTTCGTCATATTAAATTATTATTATAATTATTATTATTATCACAAATTTTATTCTTTTTTTTAAAAAAGTAAAGGGAAATAACTCTTTAAATAAATAATTTAATTTCTTTTTCTTCTTATGTCCCTTGAATACAGGGCAAGCCAGCGGTAATTTTCTTTCCAAAGAGAACCTGTAAAAATTAGAGTTATCTATCTTTATACATGAAGAAAAAAAAAAGCTACACATGTGAAATTCAATTAAGGTCCGAAGAAAAAATAAAGAAGTATACTGCATAAGTTTTAAAAAGAATATACTGTGAAAAAAAAAGTTCACTGTTTGCTGGTGACAGCTGACTATTACTAGTAGCCCATTTCTTGATTGCCTGTGTACCAGAAGCAGCCTTACTTCATCTTGGTCCACAGCCCTTTAGGCAAATAAGCTATCGTTCAGGGCCCTCGACAGATTGGGGGTCCCACCACACAAAAAAATGTCCAAATTATCAATTGTCATGATTCCTTAAATCTAATCAAATGCCTATAATTTCGGTAATTTTAAATATTTTATTATAATTTGTAATTGAAATAGAGCGTGTATTATATAATTTCTATTACTCTTACCAAGGGGATTATCCATGAATTCCCCTTAGTTGCTCTATTACATACCACCTTGCCCAGGACCTTTGTGAGCAAGCTGGCAGACGAGACAATATTTCTGACCTTTTATTTAGTATTTACAGTCACAGTGTATTTGTTTCATAATTTGAGTGTTGACATTATTTAGAAAGTTGTTTTTGTAGCAATTTTGCTTATTTATCATATTTTGTATCGTAAAAATTTTCCCCAGCGGGGACAATACTCGAGGTGATTGTTTCCCAACGAAATAAAGGGAGTCCCCTTGTTTGCTCGGCCTCCGGCCTTCGCATGATAGGAGAAACCTATGGCGTTGGCTCATGGAGCCGTGTCTCATGAAAGACGGGTGTGAATAAATGATCACCTTGTTGACGAGACATCTTGACAGAGGCGTCATTAAAAAGCTTACAACAGAATAAAAGCTTTTTCCGGGTCAATGAGGCGTACAAGAAAACATTTCTTAATGACACTTCGCTGGACTCATATATACGTTTTCTACATTTCTTAGAGATAATTAAGCTTCACAGGGAAAAGTATGGCTAACATTGCTCACCAGCTAAACTACAGCAGTTTGCAAAATAGATTTTTATAAACGCTGAGGCTAGTCATGTCTACCCAAATATAAGAAAATGCAGAGAATGATATTGAAATTTAACAAGTGTGCTAGATCCATTCCATGTGCTGGTCATCTCAGAATCTTGATTGTAGTGCAGCGATTAACTGTAATAAACTTTTTAAAGAATCGTTACAATCATATTAACATTGATATATAATATCTAGTCATATAAAGCGACCACTATCTCAAATAGCTTAGGGCCTTCTGAAGTTTAAATCCGGCCCTGCTGATTCACACAATTATATCTATATATATTTATTTTCATGATGATTCTTTTTTATTGCCTTTTCGTTGACGCATAGTCAGGTAATTTGGTCAATTTTCTCATTTGAAGTGCGGAAGGATTTTAATACAAAAAAAACAGCTGAGATTTATTGGCCTATATTTGTGTTCGGATTTAAAAAGTGAGTAAGTCAGTGAATCAATGCCATGGACAATATATTGAGTGTTAGCGATGCCTAGAAGAAGGTTAACAAATTATTACGTTACTGGGGAAGAATAGTTACAATATAGCACCATTTGACATGGGTGTAAGGATTAAAAAGTTATTAGAGTGTTGACTCAGGAAATGTTACGGTGTTATGTTACATTTTGTTACACTTTTTAGTAGGGTTCACTTTTGGTTACAGTATACCTTCCGGGCCATAGGTTGTTAAAACTATTTATACATTGTTAAATGTGCAGACGTTTTTCCTAATTAGCAATGTCAAGGTCAGTTTGAGACTGTTTCCTGTTTGTTGCCAGGTTTCATGACGATTCTGGAACAAATAAACTAAGTAACTGGGTGAGACATCCAAACCAAAAAAAATATATAATAAAATAAAAAAAACATTTATTACTACAAAGTTAAATTACGTTATTAATATAACAAATTCATTTAGTTCTTTTATTTTATAGACACCTATATTAAAATTAGTCTTTATAAATACTCCCGTAGTGTTTTCACCAAGGTCATTCTCTCTATTAGTAAGTAGCCTTACAACTTTGGAGACAAAATGACTAAAGTTTGGAAACTGCAATTTTATAAGTCTTTATAGAGTAATACCATAGAATAAAAAATGCTTTACTAACTCGATTCTGTCCTTCTGAAAAAGTTTTTGATAAAGAATTTTTTTCATATCCTATACCATCAAAAGACACAACGTGTGTGTAAATGCGTGTAAATGCGTGTAAAAGCCTGTAAAGAGCCATGAACTAAAAGATGCATTATATTCATTTCAGGCTTGTTTCTCGATATGTATTTTGAGAAAAGGCAACAAAATTAAGTTTTCCTTGGCCACCAGATACTACCATAAGGTTGTTGTTTTGGTCAGCAGTCCATAAAGGGGAAAAAATATCTTTGACACTGATGGAGCGTACATACACAGGGCTAGAGATTACATCAGGAACGCTTTGAAAAAGGAGCTTACGCCATGTTTAAAAAGCGTGGTCCTTAATTTCTTGAAACACTGAGTCCTTTCAGAGAAGCAGACATTTTTTTTAAACTGTTGAAATATAATTAGAATAAACACGTGACGTAATAAACGCACTCGTGTATGAAAGGTTTACGACATCTCGGACAAACTTCTAGAAAGGTTTACGACATCTCAGAAATACTTGTTGGTTTTGAGAAGTCTGGAGTTCGTCAGCAGGGTAAGCATAGCTTATGGAACTGGAAGACATTAAGTAATTAGGTTAATGAGCCAACAAGAATGTGGCCAGGCATAATGTTAATTGTTGGGGTGATTTGGTCATCTCCTTCCCATAACACCTCTTCCCATTTTATTTTTTCCTAAGAAGATCAAACATTTAGAGACTTTGTGAAGTCATACAATTATTCATATAAACAAAACCAATCTAAATGTAATAATGTCTACTAAATATACGGAGTCTATTATAGAAACAAATTGACACTGCATACTAGAGAGTACCGAAGTATACATCACAGTGCACTAGTAATTTTTTTTCTTGTTTTTAACTTTAGATATATATTATTATTATTTTTCATTTCTGGATTCTATATTCTTAGCCACTTAAGCTTTTGTAACTGCAGGTTCTATCTCCCCAGGTGAGCTGTTCTGCCTCATCGTGGCACCTGGGTGGAAACGGCTACTTGAGGGGGTAGCTAGGCGAAACGAATGGCAAAACATAACCCCCGTGGGGATGCCCACGGGTAGACGAGAGTCAACCCCTTGCACGGGCGGGGTTGTAAAAAAGTCCCCACAAAACTGTCACACATCCATGCGCCGTTCCTCAAAGGACCGTTACATAAATGGCGAGTCCCCCATGGTTAGCTTGGTATAGTGAAGGAAAATGACGGAGGCTCCCGGTGTCCTCGGCCTTCGGCCATGAGTCGGGGGCCTAAGGCATTGGAAACAGCAATGCTTTCATAGGCATTGACTCGGGTCGCTCTCAAACAGAACTGTGTGCTCACACAGGTTTTTTTTTTTTACTGTTCAGGCTGGACGACCTAACAGGTTTTTTTTTGTTTTTTTTTCAAACTTTGAGCTCAGACGACAATCAAACGGTTCTATTTCTACTTATATATCAAATTTATACTTTTATACATTTGTTAATTTATGAAAAGATTATTTTTTGTAAATGGAACTCATTCACCTATAAATTATATTATTAAAAATATAAAAAAAAGGAATAAAATATATGCGGTATATATTTACTTTAATATCGTATAATATTTTAACACCGTAATAAAATTTGCTATTAAAAGAATTTGATAATACTACTTCAATCAAATCAATCATTAATGTCAAATATTGTTTTATTGAAACAAAAGCAAGTTTTATAAAATAAGTGTCCAATGACATGGCTCCTAATTTCTTTACTGGACTCCTAGTACATTTTATCTTATCTTATACATTACAGAAGTTCTATTTAATAAAAACAATGTCATAAAAAAAAGAAAGTTCAGGCCGAAAGAGCCAACGAAATGATGTTGATATGACCCCCGTGCTAGTTCAAGGGAGCCAACCCTAACCATGCCATTGGATTAAAAGTGCAAATTGACATGTATGTAAAAAAAATCATGGGAACAAAATGTGTGAAAAGGTAAATTCAAATTTAGTAGCGGAAAATGCTCAACAAATCAAAACGTTATATTTAAGTGTTGCTTTTATAAAGAAACAAAAGCAAACAAACAAACAAACAAAACTATATATTAAATGACATGGTTAAACAAGTCAAGATTAAATGTTGAACATTTAAATCGCAAAACTTAAAATATAAAATAAAACCAAAAAATATACAATAAATGGTAAAAAAAAAAAAATGGGCAGATGTCGTGAATTAATGTTAGCAAACGACGTGTGGTGGCGCTGCATTGTTCTATTTTTTTTTATTTGGCTGGAACAGAGCATCAGGCAAACTGGAAAGTCTAAAGGTTTGGCGCTGCTTAGAGCTGAAGTGGCGCTGGCCTGTAGCAGATACTTTTAAAAAGTCTTTGAAACAAGCAAAAAATAAAATAACACAAATCGTTATCCACAAAAAAAAATGGTGCGATTTTGGGGGTTTTCTTTTTTTTTTTTTTAATATAGATTTATTATTTCTAAATTAAGATAGTTTTGTTTCCAGACGTAGAGACCTCATAGCCTCGTTCTCATCCCATCATCAATTTATAGAACTCTGCGAAATAAAAAATTTTTTAGTGGGTCGAGATTAAAGTAGGTCAAGTGAATGATAAATGTAGGTCATGCAAGCATACAGCGTGCTGAGGGTGGTAAGAATGGGCGCCAATCACACACCACAACCATGCAGAGAAAAAAAATGCACACCTTTTGAAAGTTATAAAATGCAACATGCATGGGGATGGGGGGGAGTAAGGATTTTTTGGATGAAGGCTTTTTGTTGCTTTGCTAATCATCACCTTGAAGCAGGGAAGATTAAACTTGATAACTAATTGTTTGATCAATAATCAACAGTTTCATTTGACGAAAGTGGGATCGGGCCTGCTACCCTTGTTTCGATTTCCAAAATAATATTTAAAAAGACAGAAACAATTTAAAAACTGGTAAGGTTTTCATTGAATACATTTTATCAATAAACCGAAATTGATTTGCATTGGTGATATATATTTGAGTTTGATGCAATTTCGTTAGCTAGAGTTAGTACCAGTTAGCCCTTAATATTAATGATTAGTATGCTAGATGGTAACATCGCTTTATTTATTTACTATTATTGCATTTTTAATGAATTATTAATGGGTATACTTTGAGTGTGTACATTTACATACCGGTTCGTGCGCACATATATGCATATATATATATGGTTATCTTAAACTATATTGTGAGAATTTCCGTTGTTTAATTGGTTTTTATCTCAGAGAATGTTTAATGGCAATATTGAACATTAAAGTTATTGTGAACACGACTTGATAAAGGCGTTTGTGTATTTAACTATATTGTCTTTCTCTAATTATCGCAAAGTATATTTTTAAAAAAGTATTCGTTGGTTATTTATTGGTATACATTTTGACTGATAGATAAAAGTATTGGTTTTTATGTGTTACTTTATGGAAGTAATTTAAAATTATTATACGTACAAATATACATTTAGACAACATTAATGTAGTTTTCGTACAATGGCAATACAGGATTTCACATGGAGATATTTTTTTTAAAAAGTATATACGTATGTATGCTTAACAAAACAGACTTATATGCAAAACATGTAAACTGAAAGCTGAGTGAGGCATATACACACTAAAAATCATATTTAATTCAAGACAAAGAAAAACATTTTCAAATTAAACTTTCACATACACATTTATTAACCAATTTTCAGAAAATGAAAATAACACCAAAAAAAAAAAATAAATAATTATTCCGTTTTGATAATGAGATAAAATGCGAAATAAAAATTGTATGTTTTGTTTCGATATTAAATGTTAGTCTATGCACGCCACGAGACACAAAGAATCAGGTCAACTTGGTTTGGAGTAAAGAGACGTCATACACAGACATCGGCCAAGGCTTTGGACTTTCAAAAAAAAAAAAAACATAATGTTTTAGCCTTTCCTTGTCTTTAAATATTTTTTTTAAGTAATAATAAATAGTATCATACATTCATTCTGTCCAACATCGTCCAGAAATTATCACACGTTTAGAATATGTCAAAATGTGTGTTTTGGCGCCATCTTTCTTGTATTGGCGCTATTTATAGCGGTGCAGGGAGAACAGGGGAGTTAATAAATATTCAAGCATCAGACGATTGTGACTTTTTTTGTGACACATTTATTTTTTTGATTTTATTTTAAATGATTTAATTTTATTTATATAATTCAGATACGGTTTGAAACTTAAATGCCAATATTTAAGAAAATAGTCAGTGGGAAGGTCAAGGTTTTACATGAAGGTCAAGGAGATTTTAGGCTTCAATTTGAGCACATCAGGTTTCTGAACTCTGTAAAGAAGAAAAGATAACTCTGTCTGGAACAAGTGGTAACCATAGTAATGTAAAATAAGTGAAATCATTACATTAAAAAAACTAATAGCAGGCCGCAAATTTGTTTGCCCTGGAAACGTAATATAACTTCTAAGATCAACTTAAAAAAAAAAAAAAAACTCATTACGGATCTGACGTTATAAAAAAATTCGTTTTATGAAGAAAGATTTTGACTTTAAAAAATGCCTACATGATGGTCAGTTGAAGGCTACACTATCAAATGTGTGGAGTTGCATATGCAGCAAGACATTTTTATAAAGTCTTCTCGTCTTTTCCATGTGTATAGAATAGACTCTTCCTTTTAATCAAATATTAAACATGAAAAATCTATAGTCTGGTATGAAGATTTATTACAAAAAAACTAAAAGGGGAGGGGAGAAATAGGAGTAGACATTTTTCATTCAATAAAACGAATAAATATCTAAACTTTTTAAATAAGAGCTCTGGAACTGAAGCATATAGTAATCTAGGATCAGTAATTTAGGATCAGTAATCTAGGCTTCCGAACCGGGGGTCCCGGGTTCGAATCCTGGTGAAGACTCGATTTAATTTAATCTTTGAGCGCCTCTGAGTCCACCCAGCTCTGACATTAGTTAACCGTGGGCCACAGAAACAGAGGATCTTTACATCATCTGCCCTATAGATCGCAAGGTTTGAAAGGGGAACTTACATTACAGAGCCGCCTAGGGCCTACGATTGGTGGAGACCAAGCACAGGGCTTCTGCCAATTTCTTAGAGAAGAAATAGCGAAACATGTGACCAGTGTTTTTGTTGGAGTACACTTGGTTTTAAATAAATTGCATAATTTTATTTTTTCGCTGTTTATTTTTCATTTTTCTATTTCATTTGGGGGTCACCAAATTCACTTCGCCTAGGGCCTCCAATTCTCTTAAGCCGGCACTGAAAGATCTAATGGAAATATAAGTTGAGCTTAAGTTTCTATGCTGACACCAGATGTGATGAAATTGAATATCTGGACCGTTAGGATATGTTGATTTATTTTTACAATCTGCTGTCTATTTAGTCTACTTATGGACCAACTGATTACCGAGAAAGATTCGTTTTACTAACATGATTGCACAAATTTACGGCCATGCCGACTCAACTAAAGTAACACAGCATGCGAGAATCAAGCATAGAACTACTAGCTAAAAATAAATACTAAACAAAAATAAATGTACAACGCATAGACGCGCAAGAACACACATAGTTTTAACACCTAATTGGATTTCTAGTTGAGTGGGAGAGGGGAGGACACATGGAGGGAGGAGGGGGGAAACAAGGCGAATCAGGGAGTACTTGTGTCAGCCTGCGTGGGCAAATCAAACAATGGGGGCGGGGCTAAGAGTACGCAACACACTAAAAGAGTTCAAACCTTTTTTTTTTTTTTTTCAACTTTTAGATGCGTGCACGTGAGTAGATCCTACATGTGTTTGTGTGTGTGTGTGTGTGTTAAAGTGTGATGGTATGAGTGTGCCTATTTAGATGCTTGTGAAGTGTTTGAAGATGAAACGGTAAGTTCAAATCGAAGGCAAAGTGTTGCTTCCCTTTGAAATGTTAATCAAATAAACAAACGATCAGGTGTCAAGATAAAACCCTGCCTTCTCATTTGATTTCATTCATTGATATTTAGATGTAGATTTCTAGCTAGGGAATGCTTTCACTTCCTATATAATATATACCTAGTCTAAATCAATGTTGAAATGTTCAAATAGTCTACACATAGACAAACTCTATGTCTCACAATGTCATTTTTTATTGACAAAGAGGTTAACTAGTAAGTTTTATCCTTAAAAGGACATCCTCTGCCCGTTGTCAAGGGAAGTACAGACTCTCCCAAAAGATGACCAGTCCCTTCACCTATCCCTTAGTCTGTCGAACCGTTGGGACAACCCTCAGGATTTGTCCACCGTAATTCTAATTTCCTCTCTGTTCCTTGCCTTGACCTCGAAACCAACGTCAGAATGATGCGCTCCCTGGTCAAGACCACATTTTTATATGCTTGCGAGTCCTGGACGCTGACTGCAGAGCTAGAGGAGGAGGATCCTAGCAATGGAATTGAGATGCTACAGAAAGGATCCTAGGTATCACCTTTAAAGACCGCATCACAAACGAAGAGATTAGAGACAGGGTGACTGCAGCCATTGGACCCCACGGTGACCTGCCAACTATCGTAAACAAAAGCGCAAACTAAAACTCTATGGCTATAGTATAAGGTCTTTGGGGCTTGCAAAGGTATTCCTTTAAGGAGTAGTAACAGGAAAAAGAAGAAGAGGCAGACAGAAAAAGCGATGGGAAGACAACGTAAAAGAATGCTTTATTGGTAGAAGTAAATACAGAATTATCTTTCCGATCATGACTATGTGTAGATCTATTCTGGAACACCAAGCCTTCTATAAGTGTATATTAAATCAGAACTCTTGTGTATTATTTGAAATTAATGTGTTGTCCAAAGCAAATATGCATTGTACTGAGACATAAGAAAATACACAGGAATAAAACACTTTTAAAGTAGTCAAAGGGCAATAACACAGAGAATGTTTATGCAGGAAAAAAATCAGTTTTATACTAATGGCGCTAAAACAGTAAGTATATTCATTTAACTTTCATCAAAGGCTACGTTGAAAAATGTATTGACCACGATATAGACCACATACTTTAGACTTTCAATAAGGACTTCAGGTTTCATTGACTTCGTGTTTCAACATATGTTTTGCAAATGTCATTTCGATTCTTATAAGATATGGCACATACTTAGCACATGTATGGAAAGCATAGGAAACAAGGTTTTTTAGTTTTATTCAAATGTCTAGATCAGTGATGCTCAACCTTATTCGACCCGCGGGCTATTTTAATTTCCAACACTCGTATCGCGGGCCACATTAACAAAAAGGTACACAAAGTTAAGTGAAATTAACCTGATACAATTTAATTAAAAACCCGTGGGACTAGTACTTACCTTAATTAAGGTATTTACAGTTTATCTTTTTTTAAGCGTCAGAAAGTGTCTTCATTTCTCTACTTAAAATGTGAGCAACATTGTAGCTGGCTTTACCACCAACTTAATTTCTTGCCTCATTTTGGTAAATATTCCACTAATCTCTAGCCAGCGGTTCTCAACCTTTTTTGCTCGGCGACCCCTTTTTACAATTTCTCAGCATGCCGCGACCCCCCCCCCCCCCCCCAACAGTAAATCTGATTTTCATTGCCAAAGCTTTATGTTTAATCATGAAACAATATGTAATTATATTCTCTTTATAATATCTCTTTAAGATATGCATTTATTTATCTTACTATTTCTAATTCATATTGCTCACATTGCATACACCTGTGACGTTTTTCTGTATTTAGACATGATAATGAACAGGCTGTTATGCAAATAATGTATTATTGCAAATTGAAGACGAAAATGCAACACAGATAAATTGGGACATGACTACAAACACTTGATCCAGATGTCTGTAATAAATTTTTTCGCTGCATCTTTATGAATGAGTTCAATCAACTATTTCTGTTTCCTAAACATTGTCACTTTTGACTTTCATTGGAGTTCTGGCATGTGCAAATGGGATGTTAAGTAATTTGGAAAGTTGGATGAAATATTGTCCGCAAAGCATTAGCTAATGGCATCACTGATGATTCGACTTAAATAACTTCGCTACAATTGACATACAAACTGATGGGGCAGGCAGAGGAAATATTGGCGAATGTCTTACGAGAGTGTCTAAATGCTGCGGGGAGACAACTGAAGGGTCACTTGAACTCCATGGAGGCTATGAGACACTACGTTCAACAACAGAGTTTCTTACCAGAGCACTACGAGAGGCCCACAACAGAGTTTCTTACCAGCACTATGGGAGGCCCACAACTGAGTTTCTTACCAGAGCACTACGAGAGGCCCATGCTTTTCTGCCCTACTACCATTAGAAGTTCATCCAAGGTTCATGTTGTCCAATACGTTATGCATTTCTATACAAAGTTTACGTATTAAAATTCAAATTTATGGATGCACTGTTCAACCTTTTTCAAAACGTACACATTTTGGTTCACACATTACAGATTTAACGCCTTAGTACTCAAACACCCGGCACCATATGAACCCTATAAGTGGCGAACCTTAAACTTCCCTTATATCCTATTATTATTGACGATTAATAATGACTCTTGACCTTACGTACGACATACTAGAGCTTTACAACACGAGCAGGCTTATGCATTAAGCGCATTTACTTAAACTGTTGAAATTTGTTCTGCTGCGACAATTAAAATGTTTGAAATGAATTCTGATTCTGCTGTCTGCTACATCTATCTTCGAATAACAATAAA